GGATATCCGGGTGAGGCGAGGCGGGGCGAGGCGGGGCGAGGCGGGGCGAGGCGGGGCGGCCGCCGCGACTCCGGGAGATGCCGATAGCGAGCGACCATCGAGTAATTAATTGAGGAATTATTGAAGCCTCAAAAAGGGGCGCGCGTCGGGACATCGCGTCACGGAAGGGGCGGGTTCCGAATACTAGGACAGGCAACTTCATTTAGCAAAAAAAAAAACTTCATTTTACCCCCAAAGGCAGCAAAGCTCCGCGTGAGGTAACCGAACGCCAAGCGGACCGTGATGCACCTGCACAGCACCCATAAGAAGTTTTTGTGCAAATTTTGTACGAGACATCAAAGTTTTTTATGCAGACGAAATTTTCGTACAAATTTGTACAAAAATGGCGAAAAATGAGCAGTTTTTCGTACGAAAATTGTACGAAAATTTCGCGTGCACAAAAAACTGTGATGTCTCGTTCTCGTTCAAAATTGTACATAACATTTAGTGTGCACATCGAGCTGATTCACACGCCTGAAACCTTAAGAAGTATCTCGAACATACATGTTCGTAAATTACGAAGTATTTTCTTTGTTAGCTTATGTTTGCTCAAAAATGCGTTGTCATGACAAGCTGCTTTTCTTTTCAAGGCCTAAAATAGTTGGTTAGGTTTTCTCAGTGCATCGAGTCCGAGTGGGCGCGAGAGGAGACAGCCATGGGGCCGCAAGTCTCACGGTAAAAACGGTACCTGGTTTTCCCAGGAAGCCCATGGTAGAGAGGTGATTTCCAGGGAGTTCCTGGGAAAACCAAGTACCGTTTTTACCGCGCTCATAAAAGCGGCTGATGTCATTTCAGCCATTTGGTTTTTGCTTCGACTGTGTAGCGCTGTCAAAGGGAAGTGACGGCAGATATTGCAGTCATATGGAGATAAGACGATCCGAGTCACTGCTCGTCGGGCGATCCCTGATTCATAGCAAAGTCTCCCCCCCTCCTCTCTCTCCGGGGTGAGGGTGAGAGACGACGACTCGACTCTTTGACGACGATCATGCAAATCAGACGGGCACGGTTGGGCAGGGCAAGTGAAGACCTCATTTGCAAATGGACTTTCCGTGTCCGTGTCCGGGTATCGCCCTGAGAAGGGCACGAACAGCCCTGGCCCAGGGAGCCAGGGAGGAGGGAGGGGGTTGTCGTCTGTTGGCAGCCACTCTGCCCGCAGGGAACATCGTGGGCGCTTCGCTCGTTTCACTGCATCGGCCCGTCCTACATCGCGTCGAGCAAGCGTCGAGTTTTCAATCCAGCTTGTGGGAGTGATGAGCCGAGGACTAGAACACAACACACTGCAAGCCAAGTGTGAGACAAGAGCGAACCACTATGCATCCTTTCATGTGGGCGTTGCCGGTCAGCGGCGAGGGGGTAAACACTTCAAGAAATCGTGTACAGACTACTCGGTATTACGCTGTATTACGGGTGTATTACACGTGTATAACGGCCCTAAAATGCCAAAATTTGGCACATTTGACCCAAAAATGGTATTACGATCACGTGTATTACGCGTAATACACGGTTTTTGTGTACAGGGTATTACGCGAGTGGTTACCCCCTCGCTTTGCATTGCCAAAGGTACACGCCAAGGTACAGCAGATTGTCAGGTGACGTAACTTCAAATCGATATTTTAACTTTTAAAACAGGCCAAGCAAAACCTCAAGAAAGTGGGAAGCCCATTCAATTTTCTGCGTACTCTGCTCATTTTTCAAGCCGCCCAGGCCAAATAAAATCACATGAAACGTTTTCACTCTTCCACTAAACAACTATCGACGGATTGACCTATCACCGATAACTCTGCTCCGCTGACTATACTGTGCAAACTTAATAGTGTACTCCGCATGCACATTCTCCCCGGCGCGTACTCACTACACTACCACGAGAGTGTGCTCAGATGAATTCGCCACCAGGAGATGAGTGTATACTTAGATGAGTGCACCCCTTAGTATGTCTGGCAATGTATGCAACTAAAGGTCTGCACTCAAATAAGTACACGCTCATGGGAGTGGCCTTGTGAGTACATGCTGTACTAAGTTCACTGTTGAGTTTGCAGAGGGTGGGACCACGGAACTACCTGGAAACCCTTCGTTCTCGTGCGCGTGATTTCAATCGGCCTCCTCGCGCTTGCACCACGCCTCCAGTCAGTGACGCTGCCCCGCGCGAAGGGAAGGGCCGCACGCTCGCCCTGCCTGTTGGTCGCGACCGAGCCCCCAGCCTCTCTGGATTTTCCGTCCCCTCTTTGCAAGTCGCGTTTCGATTCTCCTCACGTCTATGCACCGGCGTCTGCCTCCGCTCTCCGCGCTGCCGACCCTCCGGCCTCCTTTGACGCTCGCCTCGCTTGCCACTCCGAGACACACGCTTGCCTCCCCGTAAGGCCCGTGAGCGTGAGGCTTGATTCCGGGAGTCCTTTTCGCAGGTCTTTTTCTCTCTCGCACCCCTACGGGACGTCCGATGAGCGCGAGAGAGACAGAGCGACGGAAGCGACTCTCAGGCCCTTGGCCTGCCTGGCAATGTCCGCGCTCCGCTTTTCTCCCCTGAATTCCTTCTCTGCCCCTCGAGGCAGGACGCTGGGGCGGAGCTGTCCGCCTCACGCGCGCGCGCATCGCTCAAATACGGTTTATAGACGTCTTGGTAGAAAACGGTAGGCGGACGGAATTTGTATGTTGCTCGAGCAACAACGCAACAGACCATTCTAGGTCGTGGCCGAGTGAAGAACAAGAAGAATCACAAAAAACAACTTTTTAGCACTTTTAGTTATATTTAAGACTATTTGCTTGGTAGAAGTTAGTGAGAATATTTTATGGTAAATACAACATATTTTCAGTGAACATTAATGCACTCTAAATGCCCTAAATGAATCTCTTGTGATTTTGTTCTTCACTCGGCCACGACTAGAATGGTCCTCAGCACACATCTGTACCAGTTCCATGCATGAGCAAAGGTATTACTCTGACGTCCTCTGGTATGAATTCTCAGGGTACGCCCAATTTGGCTCGCCACAATGCACAGACCGCATCGCAGTGTGGTGGCGCACAGCTGACCGTTGGCCCCTGCTTTGCCCCCCCCCCCTCCTTTCTCTTTGCCTTTCATCATTTTCATTCCGCGTCTGCCAGGTCTCATATTACCTGCGGGGAATGAAACTGGATTTGCCCCGCGCGCTCGTTACAACTCAAATCACCGCACCGCCAGAGTAAAAATAAAAACCTAACAGCCTTTATGTTTATCAAAGGGGAAGCGAGAAAGACAGGAAATAAAGAAACGGACGTGGAAACAAAGCAACGGCAAGCAAATTGGCAAGATTTATTTTTATTTTCGTTTGCGAGGGTTGCACGGTGAAAAGAACTGAAGGTGCGAGGACGGCCGAAGGATGGCGATCGGATCAGAAGTGCTTTGGACAGATCTAAATCGAAATACGGAATCCCGTTCAATTTTGAATTCGAAAACGAATCTTCTATCAAGTACGCAAGACACAGCACAACAACGGCGGGCAAAATTGCGCTGCGCAGGCACGCATACTCATCAGCGTAATGGCGGGGATTTCCCAGGCCCATCCCGAAAAAAGAGGCAACTGGCAATCTTTCCATGGGTGAGCACGGGTGAGCATGAGAAAATGCCGGTCACTTTTTCAACCGTCGGACTTAGAAAACCTGCATAACGTAAAGAAGGTCTCAAAAGCAGAGGTTGCGATTTTTAGAAGAAAAACTTCAGCTCAGATTGCTTCAGAAATCTTGAGAAATTCGCGAAAAATCCAGTGGTGTTGCTGAGCTATAGGTGTCACCAGAACGCTCGCGTTGTTCCTGCCTGCCGTCCCAGCGTAACCCTTCGACTCGTTTCTGTCGGTAGGATGCCGCAAAAATGGCTTCATTCATATCCAAGTGTATGCTGCGGATGTGTGCGTGCGATACTGCGTACGAATGCGGGTGCTCAACCCCTATGCCGCGAGCCCCCCCTTCCTCCTCCTCCTCCCCCCCCCCCCCCCGCGCTCCCAATCTTTTTACCCTCACAACCGGCGCAGACAATTGCCGTTCGAATCGCTGGCGGTGGGGCTGCGGACCGAGACGACGTCTTCGCAGGGGGTCTAAGTGGCAGCCCCCCCCCCCCCCTCCCTTGGAGGCCCCAGCGACCAGACAGAGGAATGGCGCGGGGTCCGTCTTATTTGTGGAAACACTCCGGTCGCGCCGCGCCGTGCGCGTTTTCGTTGTATTTGTCCGTCCGTCTGTCTGCCCGTCTGGCGCTGCTTCGGCAGCGATGATTGGCCAGTGTCTCTTGGCCGCGCGGGGCCGCGGGGTTGTGTTTCAGAGCGGCGGGGGAATTGGGCGGCCGTCTTTGCCCCTGCGGTGCGGCGCCCAGGACGACGGCCTCAATGACGAGAATTGATTTTGGTTCACACTAAATTACTATGTAGGTTTTTCTGCGCGCTAATGCACGAAATTGTACATGCACTTCGTAACGCACGAATTTGTGCGCGATAATGCACGATTTCGTGCGCAAGTATGCAGGAAATCGTGCATTGTCGCGCACAAATTCGTGTGTTAGGAAGTGCATGTACAATTTCGTGCATTAGCGCGCAGAAAAACCTACATAGTAATTTAGTGTGTTGGCCTCCCTTTGGCGGGCCGCGCCGCGTCGGCACGCCGTCTGCGCCGCACCGCGGGCTGCAGAGGGCACGGTAACATCGCGACATGCGATTCTCTGTGGGCAAGTGTAGACTTGACAATTTTCTCCAGCGACATCTTGCGAATCCGCCGAGCCATTGCGTTTTGTCAAGCGAGACTTGCCAACTAGCAGCTTCCAACACAGCATTGCGGAAACGCAAGATCGAAAGTCAAGAGAGCGCTGGGATTCTGGGGTTATGCGAAAAGTCAAGTCTCCGGATGGCGTTCGCCCAGGTGCGGCTCGGCTGGGCTGGGCCCGGCGGGCTGCTACGTCACTGCTCACTACCCCCTCCCCTCCGCCTCCCGTTCCCCGTAGGCTGTCGTCTCCCCCCCTCCCCCTCCCCTCCTGCTCCCTTACGGTGGCCTGGCCTAGCCTGTGGCATCTCTTGTCGGACGATCGGACCAGCACGGTATTCAATACCAATTTAAGATCGTTGTTTTGGAGGAATGAGAAGGTAAGTAATGTGCATTTGATTTATATTTTGTTTTAATATTTGTTTAAAATACATTTTTAAAATTGGAAACATTGACAAACGTTATCCGCGTTGGCTGTCTCGTCGCCTACTCTCGCCGGGTCCTTTCTTTAGTTTCATGAACAATTATTTATATGTTACCGTGAAGTGTTCGTTATTTTAATTTGTAGCAAACAGACTGTGTAATTTAAAGCTTTCGGTTTAGTTTCTGATTGGCTTGAAGTGAAAGAATGGTTGTTATCTGCTCCAAAGGAAACATAACCTCTCCAGCCATAAGTCCAAAAGCAATTTATTTCAGTACTTTTTAATCCTCATCGACTGTTGTTGCTATGTTTGTTCTATTTCTACAAATTCTAATTTCTTTCAAACAAATAAAATTGCCCTCAAAGTATTTCTCTTATCAAAGTCATTGGGTTTTCTTGAAAAATTAACACACTCTAGCTGGTCTTTTGCCCCCTATTTTCTAAACCTTATATTTTTAGTATGATAATACCTCTTCTCTTCGATACTAATTTATTTCTTTTGTTCTAGCACCCCAGAAAGTCTTGGCTAACAACTGCTATGTTTGATATCTGCCTTAAGTTTGGTTAAAGCCGGCCCATCCAGAGCTTCTCATAATTTATGTCGTTACTCTTTAATTACAATGTAAGTAATCCGCTTTTACACTTATTTTTGAAGAACTCTTCATACTGTTGTCTTGATTTGTTTTTAATTTCTTTTACTAAATTCTAGGGTTACATTGAAGAGGCGGCATGAAAATGATAATTCGATTATAATTGAGAACCCCACTTGTTGTTTGAAGTGGGCGGCAACAGCTCAAGAACATAAAAATATGTCTGTTCTGGACTTCCAGTTATTGACGGAGTCACTAACTTCAATACATCTCCCTTTGTTTACAATTTTAGATAAATGTAAGTAGACTCATCTCTTGTTTCACCCTATCTTATTTAAATTATGACTTATCTGATTGTTTTTCTTTTAATCTCCTCATTTCAGACAAGTAATTTGGAGATGGAGCAATATGTGGCCCTCGTTTATGATTCTGGACACCACATTTTGGTTTTGAGTTGCCCGAAGCAGTCACTGAACACTATTTTTGTTTTGTTCTGATCTCGACATTGTCGATAGAGTCCAACTCATCACTGCATCTTCTTTTATGGACTATTTTTATAAAATGTGAGTACTCTCCTATTCTATTTTATCATAACATATTTAATTGATTAATTTATTGATTGTTTTTCTTTTATTGTCCTCATTCCAGACAACTTATCAAGAAATGGAGTAATATGTAGTTAGGATCACCACATTTATAACTTCATGTTTCCCGCAGCAGCCACTGAAAACAACTTTTGTTTTGTTTTGATCAGGACATGTCCACAGTCCACAGTCCACTCATCACAACAACTATTTTATGGAATATTTAAACAAAATGTAGGTAGATTCTCCACTCATATTATCATTACTTACATAACATGCATTTATTTTATTTTATCTTTGATTTTCCTCATTTCAGACAAGTGGTGTAGAGATGTCAATATCAACCAACATTCTGCATGAACTATTTCAGCGAAATGTGAAAAATCTTTGTGTTTAGTTAAGCTACAGTACACTTTTAAATTAGAACTTTCTGCCAAGTTTTCTTTTTAACTGATGAAATTAATTACTGTGTTAACTACATCAATAAATGTACATTTCAATCTCGACCCATTTCTTTGCTAAAAACCCCGCCACGGCCGCTAGAACGGCAAAAGTACGAATGCAGAAACGAGAGCGACCAACCGCCAAATGGCGAGAAAGCAATTGCAGATAAGTCAGAGAGAGTATGAGAATAGGCAACAGTGCGTATGCAAAATCCACATCGACCGATCGCCGAACAGCGAGAACGGGCAAGAAGAAAGGCGACCGAGCTGCTGACGATGGCCGGGCGGAGACTTGACTTTTCCCCAGGCCGCACTGGGAGAAGTGGTGGGGGGAGCATGCTAATCCTCCGGCGCGCGCCTCACGGAGCGGGCCGGGCGTGGCCCGGCGGACGCCGGAGACTTGCGTTTTGTCGAGCGCTCAGCGGAAAACAACCCAGACTGCGGCTTGCCGATTGGCAAGACCTCGGTTGCCCATCTCATTTCTCCAGACCTCTCTTGAGAAAAAAAGTCAAGCAATGCCTCCGATTCTTGTCACCTGGAAGGTCTGGAGAAATCGCATGTCTCGGTGTTACCGTGGGAGGCGCCTTGGGGTTCTTCTTTGGGTCTTTCGCCTTCGGGATGCCTTGGGGTAGCACGTTTATGTCGCCTAGAGGACCTTTAATGAACAATACACAGCGAAACCAAACCAAACGTGGACTACTCCACACTTCCTGGTGTGGAAGTCTCCACACTTGGAAGTGCAGAGTTGCCCACAGTTGCCCACAGTTGCATGGTGCAAACGTGGACAACGCCATACTTGAAGTGTGGACACAGCAAATTCTACACCTCCGCATTTTAAGTGTGGAGTTTTGGTTTCAGTGAGATCAAGCCCTCACTGAGCCACAACAAACGTACAAGAATTCCTGAAAAATTTTTAATCCGGAAAAAAATTGTTCTTTTAAAGTACAACAATAGTTGTAATAAGCACAATTCAACTGGCATGACGAGTGCACTACAGACAAGGATGTACTTCGGACAATTTTCGTTGTGCCATTTTCACAGTTTGCAGTGCTTGCTGTAAGAACGTAATTTTTGTTCGTTTGTTTCACCAGTACGGTGCGATGTCTTGCACCGTCCGTGCCACTTGCTCTCGGCGCGTTTGGAATCACAGTATGCCTTGCGGTTTGCAAACGCGTTGAAGATTTCAACCGTAATAGATCCACTGGACTCTTTTTCACTTTTTTAAAATAAGGATCACAGCACCCGCGTTGACGGAGGCTGAACGGGAGTTCTCGATTGGAATTACGGCTAAAGCCTCAAACTGGCAGAACTTCCGAAACTGTTTTTCATTACATTGGTGTACGCGTTCACCCTTTCTTCCAAGGGCCCTAAGACACTCGGAGGGAACTGCTTCTGCAGCTCAACCCCGTCCGTGGCGGCGCTCGCACAGTCGAACTGATGTCTAATAAATAGTTTCATCCGGCCAGCCATCTTTTCTCTCTCTCTCTCATTCTACTTCTTTTTCGCTCCGCGTTTTATTGTCCTTTTATTACGTTATCTCCCTCTTGGCCTGCCGCGCCAGAGTTCCCTCCTTTATTCTCCGATTCCCTTTGTGCGAGAACCGACTTATTGTCTTAGCTGACAAAAGCACAAGGAACAACCTTGCCAATCCCACGGGCACCCAGCACCTCAAACACTCCCCCTCCCCCTGTGGGGCCTCTCTCTATCTTTTCGCCCAAGCCCATACTGCCGCACCGAGGAAGTAACGACTGGTAAATTTCGTGTAAGCCGGATTACGGATTGCCCACAGGTTCGATTCAAAAAGTTCCAAGATTTCCCTTAGTTTACGCCAGGTTACCCCCAAAACTCCCTAGATAACCACTAGATCCAATTTTCTGGTTTGCCAATTTGCTGTCAGACCAAGTTGTTCTCTCGACTGCAACACAGGTTCGCCCAACATTGGTAGAAGCAGAGCGCAGCAAATTTGAATACGGATGGGTCATAAAAGTCGTTCAGTGTGACTGAGCCGATGTATAATCGGCGTGCATCCCCGTTCTCACGATTTGGTGGATTTTAAACGCCTTGCCCGAAAAAAGACGATGAGACACCCACTCATAATTATGTCTTGATCTCGCTGGATTCACTGTCATATGTTCTGGGAATAAAAGTGTAACTTGCAGTGTGAAATTTCGGGGTCACTGTTAAAATTTTTTGCTGAAAATTCAGACTATTTTGACTATAGTAAATATGCAGAACATCCCACTGAAAATTCAGACTAAATCCTGGTCTGAAATTTTCAGACTTACATAAGTCTTAACCTTTCAGGCAGGTCGTAGTCTGAAAAATTCAGACAAACCCTTGTAAAAATGAAAGTACGGATTTGGTACGGATCCAGACCGGGAATGGTACGGGTGCAGTCAGGGCGCGTCTGACGAAGGCTGGGTTTGGTCCGGACAGTGCCCGACCAGGTGCGGCTATCGTCAGGGAGGTGCCCGACTTGGTCTGGCTGTCGTCGGGGTGTGCCCGACCCGGCCCGGCAGTTGTCAGGAGGTGACCGACCTGGTCTGGCTGTCGTCGGGGTAGTCCCCGACCTAGTCCGGCAGTTGTCAGGAGGTCCCAGACCTAATCCGGCAGTAGTCAGGTCACCATACCTGGTCCGGCTGAAGTCAGGAGGTGCCCGACGAAGTCCGGAAATCGCCGTACTAAATTCGAACTTAGAATCGTCGCCGCGAGATGGCGCTGCACGCGCCGAGCCGCCGCCCGCTCGCGCTGGCGACCTAGGTTAGCGTTGTAACTAGTCTGTAAGCACGTTTTCTATGAATCAGCACTTGGTCTACAAGCGTTCGCTTTCCTGTGAGAAACCACCGGTCCCTTGGCCCGAGCGCCTGCAACCCCTTCAACCCGGGTGGCGACCATGCCAACGGTCACGCGGTCACAGTATACCAAGTTGTTCTGTCTTTTTAAACGGAAACAATGTTGTAAGTAAACGTTGCTGATGAGTTTGAAAAATGAAAGTGTCTAGAAGCATTGGGTCCTCCGAGGCGCACGGTAATCTACACGCATTTACATAACCGTTGTCGAAAACGGCATACCTGTGCGTCTTTTCCTTCTGTAGATACAGACGTGAGAGCGCGCGCGCGCGGTCCGCGGGGGCTTGAGCCAAGAGGCTCCGCGCACCGCTTCCTCCCCATGTGGCGGAGTGGCGCAGTGGTCTAAGGTGCTGGCATCGAGTCCGGAGGGCGGACGTTCCAATCCAGCCCGCGCATGTTTTTGTGCTTCAGAGCTCCGTGCGATTCCTGCACTTCGGCCTGACTTTTTGGACGATTTCCCGGACTGCGTCTGGAGCAGCTTGCCGGACTCCGAGTCCGGAAAAAGTGCGGCGTATGGTCGTTTTCCGCACCTTTTCCAGACACGAGTCGGGAGTCCGGCAGGTCCGGGAACAGTCTGGAATCGATCCGGATTGTCGGACTAAACCCAGTCTGGAGCCGGACTTTCATTTTTACAAGGGAAATTTTCTCAATTATAAGATTGTTTTGTCAGAAAGTGGCAGCAGGAAATTTTCCCGTAACTCGGTAAAATGATAATGTTTGCATCCGAATCTAAAAGGGGAGTCACTCCAAGGGACCGTTTAGGTAAAAAAATTGAGAGTAGGGAAATGTCCCCGAAGCGGGACTCTTCCCTGCACTCATCTGGAGCTGGCATGACGCACCCAAGGAAACGACGGCACGGAGCCAACCGCGAGAGGTAACTTCAAATGTCAATTGTTAAACTCGCGCGTTCGCTACAGATATAAATTTGGTATGGGAGCGTGTGTTTCGTCATAGCCAATAGAGTGGTAGCCATTTCGGGTTGAAAATATTAAAAATTTAACAGAAAAAAACGTTTTCAACAACAGCAGGCTCTTTACCGACACTGGCGCCACCTAGCGGAGAGAAAAATGTGTTCGTTTTGTCTGAAGTCCCCGAAACGGAGTCGGATTAAATTGAATATAAGACTGATTGTGAGTTAACCCAATGTTAGGTTGGAAGAAAGTTGTCCAATTTTCTCTTAAGTTTGAAAAACGATTATCACCAGGCTGGCAGGAGAATGAAATTCGTTAGCGCCCCACCCCGAATGCGTGACTCGTTTTCACCTTCGCCTCGCGTCAGCTCGCAAGGAGTCGGTGCCGTGCCGTTCCAGAGGCTGCCCGAGGGAGGGGTAAAGTGGTCCTTTCCGCCCGCGAGCAGCGACAGAGTCTACGCTGAGAAAACCTTAGGGACTATTTTGGGCCTTATATACACGCAGCAAGTCCACAATGACTTCATTTTCTTTGTACAGAAGTTGGGGTTAAGTCGATTTGATTCAGTGACCTCTTATCGAGGGGGAAACGACTGAGAAATTTTGTGTACATCGGATAGGGATAACCCCGGATAACCCGCGGATTACCTCCGGATAACATCGAAAAATTTCCAGGATTACTATTGGATTGCGATGGATTACCCCGGATTACCTCAGAATTTCCCCGGATTACCCCGGATTACCTCAGAATTTCCCCGGATTACTTCGAAATTTCTGGTTATCCGGATAGCGGATAACCAATTTGCCGTACATCGGATAACCGAAGTCGTTTCCCCCTCGCCTCTTATCAGTCTATCAAGTAAACGTGAGCGAAAATTTGGTCCAAAAATAAGTGGCGAGACAAGTCCCATCCTCTTGCATCTATTTTTAGATGACATTCCCCACCTGTTCTCCCACCTGCAAGGTTCAGGCCTTTCAAAAGTGCACGCATTCAACTCGACTTAACCCCTTCTTCCGCTTCGTGGATCAAATGCTTCGTATGCTTTTAAGAGAGTGGTCGTGGTATGCAGATTTTCATTTCGCTATCGCTAATGCACACTTGTAGGAACTAAATCGCACGACTTCCTCGCTTTTACTCCCCCCCCCCCTTCCTCTCCGCCTTCCGGTGTGAACTTTGCCATCATCGGCGAGTGCGGCGGGGCGCGGCGGCGTTTCGGTCTTGCCGTAAATCTGACAGGCAACGGGTCGGAAAGAAGAGGCACTCCACACGCCGCGCGCCGCGCCGCCGGCCTAAACGTGAGCGGGGA